CCGGTTTTGAGTCATTTACGTCAGATTTGAACAATTTCCCTCAAATTTACCCTGGTTTTGAGTCATTTCCCTCAAATTTGAACAATTTCCCTCAAATTTACCCCGGTTTTGAGTCATTTCCGTCAGATTTGAACAATTTCCAGCAAATTCAGCCTAGATTTACCTCATTTCTGTCAAATTTGAACGATTTCCAGCAAATGTACCCCGGTTTTGAGTCATTTCCCTCAAATTTGAACAATTCCCCTCAAATTTACCCCTATTTTGCCTCATTTCCCTCAAAATTAAAATATTCCCCTCAAATTTACCCCAATTTTGCCTCATTTCCCTGAAATTTGACCAATTTCCCTCAAATTTACCCCGATTTTGACTCATTTTCCTCAAATTTGACCAATTTCCCTCAAATTTAGCCCAAATTTCCCTCAAATTTACCCCATTCCTTCAGTTTTACCCAAAATTTGCCCCATTTCCCTAAATTTGAACAAATCTCCTCAAATTTAGCCTAAATTTCCCTCATTTCCGTCAAGTTTGACCCAAAATTTGTCTCACATTTGCCCCAATTTTGCCTCTTTTCCATCAAATTTGACCAATTCCCCTCAAATTTACCCCAATTCTGCCTCATTTTCCTAAAAATTAAAAAATTCCCCTCAAATTTACCCCAATTTTGCCTCATTTCCCTCAAATTTGACCAATTTCCCTCAAATTTAGCCCAAATTTCCCTCTAATTTAGCCCATTCCTTCAGTTTTACCCCAAATTTGCCGAATTTCCATCAGATTTGAACAATTTCTATCAAATTTAGCCTAAATTTACCTCATTTCCCTCAAATTTGAACAACTTCCATCAAATTCAACCTAAATTTACCCCATTTCTGTCAAATTTGAACAATTTGCAGCAAATTCATCTTAAATTTACCTCATTTCTGTCAAATTTGAACAATTTCCAGCAAATTTAGCCTAAATTTACCCCGTTTCTGTCAAATTTGACCAATTTCCCTCACATTTGCCCCAATTTTGCCTCTTTTCCCTCAAACTTAAACAATTCCCTCAAATTTACCCCAATTTTGCCTCATTTCCCTTAAATTTGGCCAATTCCCCTCAAATTCACCCCAATTTTGCCTCATTTCCCTGTAATTTGACCAATTTCCCTCAGTTTTACCCCAAATTTACCCCAATTCCCCCCAAATTCGCCCAATTTCCTTCAAATCCAACCCAAATTTACCTCATTTCCCCTAAATTTGCCCAATTTCCCTGTTTTCCCCCAAATTTGCCCCATTTCCCCCAATTTTCTTCAAATCCAACCCAAATTTACCTCATTTCCCCTAAATTTGCCCAATTTCCCTCAGTTTTCCCCCAGATTTGCCCCATTTCCCCCCAATTTTCTTCAAATCCAACCCAAATTTACCTCATTTTCCCTAAATTTGCCCAATTTCCCTCACTTTTACCCCAAATTTTCCTTATTTCCTCCCCAATTTCCCTTTCACCCCCCCCCCCCTCCATCCCCCCCATTCACCCACACATGGGGGGTGTTCTCCAGCTCTTTATTGGTTCCATTGGGGGGACCCCTCCCACCCCAACCCTGCCCCACACTTGGGGGGCTCTGGGTACTGCCCCCCCCCCCCATTGCCTATTGGGGTTCAAGGGGGTCCCCCCATGCCCCCCCCTCTTCCTCCCCCCCCATTCCTCCCTTAGCAGCATCCCTGGGGCCCCTCCTCCTCCTCATCCCAGTGTCCCCCTCACCCCATCGCTATGGGTCCCGTTGCTATGGGTCCCATCCCTATAGCTCCTATCGCTATGGGTCCCATCCCTACATCTCCCAGTGCTGTGTCCTCCATCACTGTGTGCCCCATCCCTATGGGCCCCGTTGCTATGGCGACCATCACTATGGGTACCATCGCTATACGTCCTGGTGCTCTGTGCCCCATCCCTATGGGTCCCGTTGCTATGGCGACCATCACTATGGGTACCATCGCTATACGTCCTGGTGCTCTGTGCCCCATCCCTATGGGTCCCGTTGCTATGGCGACCGTCACTATGGGTACCAGCCCTATGGCTCCCATTGATACAGTAATCATCGCTATGGGTCCCTTCCCTATGGCTCCCGTTGCTATGGCTCCTGTTGCTATGGTAATCATCGCTATGGGTCCCATCACTATGGGTACCATCCCCGTGGCTCCCGTCGCTATGGGTACCATCATCCCTATGGCTCCCATCGCTATGAGCCCCGTTGCCATGGCTTCTGTTGCTATGGGTACCACCACTATGGCTCCCATCGCTATGAGCCCCGTTGCCATGGCTTCTGTTGCTATGGGTACCACTATCCCTATAGCTCCCATCCCTATGGGTACCACCATCCCTATGGCTCCCGTCGCTATGAGCCCCGTTGCCATGGCTCCTGTTGCTATGGGTACCACCATCCCCATGGCTCCCATCCCTATGGCCCTTATCACTATGGGTACCACCGCTATGAGCCCCATCCCCATGCCTCCCGTCGCCATGGTGACCATCCCTATGGCTCCCATCTCTATGGGTACCACCACTATGAGCCCCGTTGCCATGACTCCCATCCCTATGGGTACCACCATCCTCCTGCCTCCCGTTGCCATGGCTCCCATCCCTATGGGTACCACCGTCCCCATGGCTCCCATCCCTATGGGTACCACCACTATGAGCCCCGTTGCCATGACTCCCATCCCTATGGGTACCACCATCCCCATGGCTCCCATCCCCATGCCTCCCGTTGCCATGACCTCCGTCACCATGACTCCCATCCCCATGACCCCCGTTGCCATAACTACCATCCCTATGGGTACCACCACTATGAGCCCCGTTGCCATGGCTCCCATCCCTATGGGTACCACCATCCCCATGGCTCCCATCCCTATGACTCCCATCCCCATGCCTCCCGTTGCCATGACTCCCATCCCTATGGGTACCACCATCCCCTTGGCTCCCATCCCCATGCCTCCCGTTGCCATGACTCCCATCCCCATGACTCCCATCCCTATGGGTATCACCATCCCCATGACTCCCATCCCTATGGGTACCACCATCCCCCTGGCTCCCATCCCCATGGCTCCTGTTGCCATGGCTCCCATCCCCATGGCTACCACCATCCTCCTGCCTCCCATCTCCATGGCTACCACCATCCCCATGCCTCCCATCCCCATGGGTACCACCATCCCCATGGCTCCCATCCCCATGTCTCCCGTTGCCATGACTCCCATCACTATGGGTACCACCATCCCCCTGGCTCCCATCCCCATGACTCCCATCCCCATGGGTACCACCATCCTCCTGCCTCCCGTTGCCATGCCTCCCATCCCCATGACTCCCATCACTATGGGTACCACCATCCCCATAAGTCCCATCCCCATGCCTCCCGTTGCCATGCCTCCCATCCCCATGACTCCCATCCCTATGGGTACCACCATCCCCATGACTCCCATCCCCATGACTCCCATCACTATGGGTACCACCATCCTCCTGCCTCCCGTTGCCATGACTCCCATCACTATGGGTACCACCATCCCCATGACTCCCATCCCTATGACTCCCATCCCCATGCCTCCCGTTGCCATGACTCCCATCCCCATGGCTACCACCATCCTCCTGCCTCCCATCCCCATGGCTACCACGATCCCCATGGCTCCCCCCCCCATACCCCCCATCACCACCACCACGCCTCCCCCCCTCCGCCCCACACGCTCTCATCAACACCCCCCCTGCCATAAGCGCTAGGGGCAGGAGATGCAAACAGAACCCCAAAGCCCCCCAGTAACGGAGAGCGTCTCCACCTCGCCGCAGGACGAAACCAACGCTCAGGTACTCGAAGACTCTCATGGGGAGGGCTCGACCCAACGGGACCCCCAACGCCGTGGGGAGGACCCCCAGCGCCGCCGGCACCGCCGAGCGCTCGGCCGCCAGCCATAGGGGCAAGGAGAGCAGGCTTAGGTAGAGCCCCCCGTGCAGGCCGTGCCAGTAAGCGGAGGCGAGGAGGGTCACCGAGGCGCTGGGGTGGGGGGGATGATGGAGGGGTGAAGGGAGATGTAGGGTAGAGACCCGTAGAGACCCATAGAGAGCATAGAGACCCATAGAGAACCCATAGAGACCCATAGAGAACCCATAGAGAACATAGAGACCCATAGAGAGCAGAGAGAGCCATAGAGACACATAGAGACCCATAGAGAACCCATAGAGAGCATAGAGAGCCATAGAGAACATAGAGACCCATAGAGAACCCATAAAGAACCCATAGCATAGAGACCATAGAGCCCATACAGACCCATAGAGAGCCCATAGAGAGCATAGAGACCCATAGAGACACATAGAGAACATAGAGACCCATAGAGACCCCATTCGCCCCATTGCCCCCATTCCATCACCCCATCCCCCTCATTCCCATCCCAATTCCCATCCCCCCCATCCCATCTCCCCCATCCCCATCACCCCCATTCCATTCCCCCCATCCCATCCCCCCATTACCCCCATTCCCATCACCCCCATCCCCCCATTACCCCCATCCCCCCATCACCCCCATTCCGATTCCCCCCCATTCCATTCCCATCACCCCCATTCCCCCCATCTCATCCCCCCATTCCATCACCCCCCATTCCCCCATCCCCCCATCCCCCCTCCCCCCCACCACCCCATCACCCCCATTGTCCCCATTACCCCCAATCCCCCCATCCCCCCCATCCCCCCATCTCCCCCATTCCCATCCCCCCATTCCATTCCCCCCATTCCCATCCCCCCCATCCCCCCTCCCCCCCATCACCCCCATTGTCCCCATTCCCCCCCTTTCTCCCTCCCCATCCCCCCCCATTCCCCCCCCATCCCCCCATTCCCCCCATTCCATTCCCATTCCCCCATCCGCCCCATTCCCCCATCACCCCCATTCCATTCCCCCCATTCCCCCATCACCCCATTACCCCCCAATCATCCCCATTCCCCCATCCCCCCCATTACCCCCCATTCCCCCATCCCCCCCCCATTCCCCCCATTCCCCCATCCCCCCCATTCCCCCATCCCCCCCATTCCATTCCCCCATTCCCCCATCCCCCCCATCCCCCCATTCCCATTTCCCCATCACCCTCATCCCCCCCATTCCATCACCCCCCATCACCCCCATTCCCCCCCATTCCATGCCCCCATTCCCCCCATTTCCCCCATTGCCCCCATTCCCCCCATCCCCCCCATCCCCCCATCCCCCCCCATCCCCCCATTTCCCCCCCATCCCCCCCCCATTACCGCAGGAGGGGGGGTCCCGGCGCGCGGCGGTGCACGTAGTGCTGCAGCCACCACTGCACGGTCATGTTCCAACGCCGCAGCCCCTCGCGCACCCCCCGGCACCGCTCCGTGCCCCACGGATCCACCGTGCGGATGCACTCGAAATCCCACTGCTGGGGGGATGGGGGGCGGCTCCTGGGGGGGGGGGATGGGGGTGGGATGGGGGAATGGGATGGGGGGAATGGGGGGGATGGGGGGGATGGGGAAATGGGGGTGGGATGGGGGAATGGGGGTGGGATGGGGGGAGGAGGGAAATAGGGGGGGATGGGGGAATGGGGGTGGGATGGGGGGATGGGATGGGGGGGATGGGATGGGGGGAATGGGGGGGATGGGGGAAATGGGGGTGTTGGGGGGCGGGTGGGATGGGGGGAGGGGGGAAATGGGGGGATGGGGGGTAATGGGGGGAATGGGGTGGGGGTGGGATGGGGGAGGGGGGAAATAGGGGGGGATGGGGGTGGGATGGGGGATGGTGGAATGGGATGGGGGGGTGGAGGGAATGGGGGGCATGGGATGGGGAAATGGGGGGGGATGGGGGGAATGGGATGGGGGGGATGGGGGATGGGGGAAATGGTGATGGGGTGGGGGTGGGATGGGGGGATGGGGGAATGGGGGGAATGGGATGGGGGGGGATGGGGTGGGATGGGGGAGGGGGGAAATGGGGATGGGGGAATGGGGGTGGGATGGGGGGATGGGATGGGGGGAATGAGGGGCATGGGATGGGGAGGATGGAGGGGGATGGGGAGGATGGAGGGGGATGGGGGGAATGGGGGGGATGGGGAAATGGGGGTGGGATGGGGGGATGGGGGAATGGGATGGGGGGGAATGGGGGGATATGGGGGGGGATGGGGTATGGGTGGGATGGGGGGAGGGGGGAAATGGGGGGGATGGGGGAATGGGGGTGGGATGGGGGAATGGGATGGGGTGTGGGTGGGATGGGGGGATGGGGGGAATGGGAGGGGGAGGATGGAGGGGGATGGGGGGGATGGGGGAATGGGATGGGGGTGGGGGGAATGGGGGGCATGGGATGGGGAAATGGGGGGGGATGGGGGGATGGGGAGGATGGGGGGAATGGGATGGGGGGGATGGGGGGATTGGGGGATGGGGGGATAGGGTGGGGGTGGGGTGGGGATGGGGGGGATGTGGGGGGATGGGGATGGGAGGATGGGGTGCGATGGGGGGGATATGGGGGGGGAGGGGGTATGGGTGGGATGCGGGGGAGGGGGGAAATAGGGGGGATGGGGGGAATGGGGGGAATGCGGGGGTGGGGGGGATGGGGGAATGGGGATGGGAATGGGGTGGGGGGGATGGGGATTGGGGGAGTGGGGATGGGGGGGATGGGGGGGATGGGGAGGATGGGGGGAAGTGGGGATGGGGGGATAGGGTGCGGGTGGGGTGGGGATGGGGGATGGGGAGGATGGGGGGGATGGGGTGGGGAGGATGGGGGGAAGTGGGGATGGGGGAATGGGGGGATGGGGTGGGATGGGGGGATATGGGGGGGGATGGGGTATGGGGGGGATGGGGGGAGGGGGGAGTGGGGATGGGGGGATAGGGTGGGGTGGGGACGGGGGGCATGTGGGGGGGATGGGAGGATGGAGATGGGGTGGGGATGGGGGGATGGGGTGGGGAGGATGGGGGGATGGGGGGGAGTGGGGATGGGGGGATGGGAGGGATAGGGTGGGGGGGGTAGGGGGGATGGGAATGGGGGGGATATGGGGGGGATGGGGGGGAATGGGGGGATGATGGGGTGGGGATGTGGGGGATGGGATGGGGAGGATGAAGGGGGGATGGGGGGATGGGATGGGGTGGGGGAGATGGGGTGGGGATGGGGGGGGATAGGAACAGAGCCATCAGCAGAAACCCCCAAGGAACCGCTCTCCATCCCCATCTCCCTCTGCCCCACATCCACCCCATAGCCCATGCCCCCCCCCCCCATGTCCATGTCCCCTAGGTCCCCCCAGGTCCGCATTATTCCCCATTGCCCCCCACATCCCCTCAGCCCCACAACTCCCCCCAGCCCCCATTGGCCCCAATGTCCCTCCCAGCACCACTTCTCCCCCCATGGATCCCCATTGCCCCCCATTGATCCCCATTGACCCCACTGCCCCCCAGCGACCCTTATTGATCCCAATTGACCCCATTGATCCCCACTGCTCGCCATTGACCCCCACTGACCCCCATTGACCCCACTGCCCCCCATCGACCCTTACTGATCCCAATTGACCCTCATTGACCTCCATTGATCCCTATTGACCCCCATTGCTCTCATTGATCCCTATTGACGCCATAGACCCCCCATTGACCCCATTAACACCCATTGACCCTTATTAACCCCCATTGACCCCCATTGACCCCACTGCCCCCCATCGACCCTTATTGATCCCAATTGACCCCCATTGACGCCTATTGTCCCCCACTGACCTCCATTGACCCCCATTGACACCAGAGACCCCCCATTGACCTCCATTGACCCCCATTGACCCCACTGTGCCCCATCGACCCTTATTGATCCCAATTGGCCCCCATTGGTCTCATTGGTCCCCATTGACCTCCGTTGACACCATAGCCCCTCCATTGACCCCCATTGATGCCATACACCCCTCATTGACCTCCCTTGATCCCCATTGACCTCCATTGACCCCCATTGACCTCCATTGAGCCCCATTGACACCACAACCACCCCCATTGACCTCCATTGACCCCATTGGTCTCATTGATCCCAATTGATCTCCATTGACACCCATTGACCTCCATTGATCCCCACTGACCTCCATTGATCTCCATTGACCTCCATTGAAGCCCATTGACACCACAACCACCCCCATTGACCTCCATTGACCCCATTGGTCTCATTGATCCCAATTGATCTCCATTGACACCCATTGACCTCCATTGACCTCCATTGATCCCCACTGACCTCCATTGATCTCCATTGACCTCCATTGAAGCCCATTGACACCACAACCACCCCCATTGACCTCCATTGACCCCATTGGTCTCATTGATCCCCATTGACACCACAGCCCCCCCATTGACCTCCATTCATCCCCATTGACCTCCATTGATCCCCATTGACCTCCATTGACCCCCACTGACACCACAACCCCCCCATTGACCTCCATTGATCCCCATTGACCTCCATTGATCCCCATTGACCCCCACTGAGCCCCATTGATCTCCATTGACCCCCATTGAGCCCCATTGACCTCCATTGACCCCCATTGACCTCCATTGAGCCCCATTGACCTCCCTTGATCCCCATTGATCTCCATTGACCCCATTGCTCTCATTGACCCCCATTGACCTCCATTGACCCCCATTGATCCCCATTGACCTCCACTGAGCCCCATTGACCTCCCTTGATCCCCATTGATCTTCATTGATCCCATTGCTCTCATTGACCCCCATTGACCTCCATTGACCCCCATTGATCCCCATTGATCTTCATTGATCCCATTGCTCTCATTGACCCCCATTGACCTCCATTGACCCCCATTGATCCCCATTGACCTCCATTGATCCCCATTGACCTCCATTGACCCCCACTGACATCACAAGCCCCCCATTGACCTCCATTGACCTCCATTGACCCCCATTGACCTCCCTTGATCCCCATTGATCTCCATTGACCCCATTGCTCTCATTGACCCCCATTGACCTCCATTGAGCCCCATTGACCTCCATTGAGCCCCACTGACCTCCATTGAGCCCCATTGAGCCCCATTGACCCCCATTGACCTCCATTGACCCCCATTGACCTCCATTGAGCCCCATTGACCTCCCTTGATCCCCATTGACCTCCATTGATCCCCACTGACACAACCCCCCCATTGACCCCCATTGACACCACAACCCCCCATTGACCCCCATTGATCCCCATTGATCCCCATTGACCCCCACTGACCTCCATTAACCCCCATTGACACCACCGACACCCCCCCCCTTTCTTCCCCTTCTTTCCAACTCACCTCTCCCCCCCTTTCTCCCCTTTCCTCGTGGGGCCGCAGCCCGGCCGGGCACCCCTCTCCTTCGGGTACCCCCCAAAAGCAGCCACCAAGCAGGCGGCCTCGGCGCACAACCACCCCACATAGAACCGCAAACGGAAGGCCAAGAAAACCGGGGCGCTGGCCAAAAGGCGCCAAGGGAAAGACCAGCCCCATAGCGCCGGGCCTAGCAAGGTCCTGGCAGGGAAAAGGCGCCCGCAGGCTTCGGCTACCAAGGCGAAGGCCGGTACCCAACGGAGGCGCTCGAGGATGAGAGAGGGGGAGAAAGGGGGTGAAGGCCCCCGGAGCCAATCCTGGTAGGTGCGGAGGCGATAGAAGGGGCCTATGGGGTGGGGGGAAAAGGGGGGGGGGGAAAGGGGGGTGAGGGAGAGCATAGGGAGGGTCAGAGAGACCCATAGAGACCCACAGAAAGCATAGAGACCCATAGGAACCCATAGAAAGCATAGAGACCCATAGGGACCCATAGAAAGCATAGAGACCCATAGAGACCCATAGGGACCCATAGAAAGCATAGAGACCCCTAGAGACCCATAAAGATCCCCAGAGATCCATACAGAGCCATAGAGACCACAGGGACCCACAGAGACCCATAAAGACCCATAGAGCGCATGGACACCATAGAGACCCACATAGAGCATAGGAACCCATAGAAACCCATAGGGACCCATAGAGAACATAGAGACCCACAGAGACCAATAGAAACCATAGAGACCCATAAAGACCCCATAGACGCCCATAAAGACCCATAGAGAGCATAAAGACCATAGAGACCCATAGAAACCCATAAAGACCATAGAGACCCATAGAAAGCATAGAGACCCATAGAAAACATAGAAACCCATAGAGACCCATAGGAACCTATAGAGACCCATAGAGACCCATAGAAATGAGATCCATAGAACCCATAAAAACCCATAAAGACCCATTGAGACCCATAAAGCCCCTAGAGACCCATAGAGACCCATAGAGCCCCATAGACAACATAGAGACCATAGAGCCCCATAGAGCTCATAGAGACCATAGAGACCCATAGAGAAAGCCCCATAGAGCCCCATAGACAATATAGAGACCACAGAGACCCATAGAGCCCCATAGACAACGTAGAGACCACACAGACCCATAGAGCCCCATAGAGCCCCTAGAGACCCATAGAGGAAGACCCATAGAGCCCCATAGACAACACAGAGACCATAGAGCCCCATAGAGCTCATAGAGACCATAGAGATCTATAGAGCCCCATAAACAACATAGAGACCACAGAGACCCATAGAGACCCATAGAGCCCCTAGAGCCCCATAGAGCCCCATAGACAACATAGAGACCACACAGACCCATAGAGACCCATAGAGCCCCATAGAACCCCTAGAGACCCATAGAGAAAGCCCCATAGAGCCCCATAGTCCCTCCCACACCCCCCCTGCCCCATAGATCCCCCCCCCCCCCCCACGCACCCGTCAGCAGCCCCAGATAGCAGTAGCTGTAGCACAGGATCTCCACCAATCCCGGGCAGCTCTCGAGCCCGCCAATCACGTCGTCCGCCTCCGCTGACGTCACGCCCTTCAGCCCCGCCTCCCGCAGGTCCTGCACGTCAGTGGCCATGCTCACCATCTAGGGGAGGGGAAGGGGGCGTGGCCAAGGGGTGAGGACACGCCCACAGCGGTGACGACCAATCAGAGGCCGCTCCTCCTCCACAAGGCCACGCCCACCCCCCCCCTTTAGGGCCCCAACCCCCGGACCCATTGGTCCACCCTATAGCCCCCTATGGCCTCCCTATAGCCCCCTATGGCCCCCCTATAGCCCCTATGGTCTCCCTATAGCC